GTCTGGGTGAACCATGTCGAGTTTATGACAGCGGGGTGACGATCGCAGTGGTGAAAGTTAGCACGCGACGGTCGGGATCGTCGGTGCGGATATGAGGATMGATGTTGAGTTGATTGGCCCRSRGCCATATTGGACTTAACGGTGAATACGCCTTTGTTGCGGATTGTTATCTTTSGCGTGAGTGCACRGCGGTGATGCTGAACTTTTCTCTTCCTGGATCTTGTCATCTTTTATTTTGGATTTTTTTCCCCTYGACTCTCTCTCTCTCTTTTTGAATGATGATGCGTCTGAATGATTGTCCCTCTCTTRAGTAGGAATGAGTTGGCATCCTGCTTCTATGTGAAAGAACTTTCGGAACTCTTCCATTAGTTTCCTGGGTAATCCTCCTACGCAAGGACCTCGTCTACTTGTCTTGTGAACGGTGTATGCGTGTGTATTGTGCAATGTGATCCATCTTTTCCTGCGCATGTCTCATTTTTGCACCTTCCACAATAAATGCATGTATAGATATGCGTGACTTTTCCAATTTCATTAGACGAGTTTCGTCGGGATTTTGTTCGAGAACGCAAGAGTGTTTGGATCTATAGCTCTGTTTGCACTGTGCATGCCCTCTGCCTTATGATGCACAATGTCAGCAGCCGAGCCACGATGCGGCCCTGGGAAACAAGGCGCCCAAGGACCAACGTGTGTTGAACTAATCAGACTCGTAGCTATACTAATATGTGGTTGCTTTCCCTCTCTTGTGTCAAAAAAAAAAAGAATGATTGGGGGACGCGCAAGTCGCTTCTGTTCTTAATGAGGTCTCCAGATATTTTGTGATTGATTGACATGCGGACTGACAAGTACCCTTCGATTGGGCGCCAGCCTCCCGTATCTACCAACCCAACGCAACCTTTTCCTTACAGTGAGGAAAGGACACATGTATGTGAGTGGGACGTACGGCAAGCCGTTGCACAAATTGGCGGGCAGTATTACCTCCCTCCGGCCAACCGCTGTTCTGGGTTCGTAGAAGCCGGGTTTGTTATTATCGATACGCACTTCCCACCTTACTCGATATTGTTGCCATTTAACGAGTTAACCATGCACTCTGTGCACCGAATGTCAGTGTTTTGATCGCTACGAAGCGAAGGGCTTCCACTACGGAATACGGAGTGAGGACGAGCATAAGGAAAGAGCCACTCGGTTGAGACCATCCACGTCGGATTCGGAACTGACCAGCAAACGAAGACGAGATCTGGTACAAAAACGAGACACGCGAAGCGTGCCAAAGCCTTTCCGTTCTAAACGACGGGCTGTAGCTCGGTGGGAAGTCCGACAATACTTTTATGATTGAATTTGAATCTTTCTGTTTTCGCGCCGTGTCCGCGCGCGCCTTCCGCGACGCGCGAAACGATCGACTTGCTCCATCGGACCAACACGGGGGATCTCAGTTTCGTATGTGTCCCCACACTCAATTTCCAAAAATCCTTGGCACACCCCATCTCGCTGTTTTTCTTGGCCTCTTTTCCGCACAGCTAACACTCCGAACGGAAGACAACACAGGGCGTGAGGTTGATATC